CAAATCTTATGAAAGAGAGTATATGAGTTTGAATTTGCTACATCTTCTTCAAACTTAATAGTGTTTTTAGGCTGTCATGAGGCAATTGCTGATTAATGAAATCATGACCGCTTATGAACTTATAATATGATCTTGGCGTAGACACGTACAATGAATTAAAGTCATTATAAAAAAAAATTATAAACTTAATATTGGGTAAAATCATAAGATGTACCCAATATTAAGTCTACACTTAGTCCATGCTCTTCCTAAAGATTAGCCAACACCTCATTTATTTCATCTAAATCACTGGGTCTTGAGTTTGAACTACCCGGATTAGCTGAACTCCGCGTTCATAATTTTCTCTTAAGTCAACAAAGTATTTCTAGGACCATGGATGACAACTTAATTTTCTTCATGTCCCCATTCCAAGAAGACTTTCACCACTTCTACAAGGGTTTCACGGGGAACTCGTCCCATAGGGTCAATCCCCACACTGTCATGGGTCAACTTCAGAATTACCCTTTTGGCCATAGGACCACTGGTGGTAGTCGCCCGTCGACCCTTTTCTTTTATTGAAAACACCATGTCCACCATCATTCTCTACATCACCATTCACTGAGATAATCTGTTTTCTTACAAGAATTTCAAAGGAAGTTAAGCAGAACATAACGTCACCCTTCGTATTTTATTTTCCAGCTCGAAAATGATGTTCACCTCTAGCTAAGGAATTAAAGTGCCAGATTTTTACCTCTCCGCCAAGTAAAATGGTGGCCCGATTGTATAGCCAATGAATATCCCATTGAAGTAAACCAAAAGTTTATGACTTGAGAGGATGAGAAATTTTTGCGGAGAACAATCCACCCAATGTCTTATGCTTCCATTTTTTACTTCGTTTTCTCCAAAGCCCCAAATTAAGAAACCCTAATTTCGCCTTAATCCCTTCTCTCTTCGACACCTTTATTTATATATAATACTAGACTCTTCGCACGCTCTTCTGTGCCTGGAAAAGGCTTTTTAAAAATAAAAAATTTTAATTGAATTAAAAATAATAATAGATAGTTGTGTTCCATAAAAATAGGATATATTATCTAATTTTTCTTTTAATTTTAATTTTTTTTAATATAAAAAATTGTGAATTTACCATATTATCCTCATTTAATTAATAATTTTAATTCTTAATGTTTGAATTAACCAATGACATTTTCTGGTATTTTGAATGTTTTACCATTCTCTGCATTTTGCTTCATATATACTAGCCACTTGGCACACGCTCACGCATGTGCCAATTGGTTTTATTTTTTATTTTTTATTTTATGTTTAGAATTAAGAAAAGATAATATGGGTAGTTATGTTCCATAAAAGTAGGACCTATTATCTGATTTTGTTTTAATTTTAATTTTTTTTTAATATGAAAAAATGTGAATTTACCATATTATCCTCATTTAATTAATAATTTTAATTCTTAATGTTTGAATTAACCAAGGACATTTTCTGGTATTTTGAATGTTTCACCATTCTCTGCCTTCTGATCTATTGAACTACAAGGATCCAAGAGATTTATAGTCACTCACCGTTAGATGTAAATTCAACTGTTCACTCACTCTTGCACTCTTTTTAAGAAACTTTTTTGAACCGTTGGATTGGACCCCTGTGGTCCAAAAGATCGGGGCTGTTGCTTTATATACATAGATAGATTAAACTTATTTGAGAAACTAGAAATATAGTAGAGCAAAATGAATAAATTAAATAAATATTGTCTAAAATTATATTTTTAGGGACAAAAAAAATTAACTTTTAAGCCAAACTTTGCAAAAGGTAGATACGATCATACGATGGGAGATCGGACGTCAACGATTTTTATGCATGTGAGTGGTTGCAAAGCGAGACACAAGGGTCCAAATCACTTCACATAAACGCCAACTAAAGTCTCCGTCTTTTGAATGGAGATGCTCCACGACGCAGCAGACATATTGACATGTTGTGGTCCACATTTCACATCCACTTGTACACTACAGTCACCTCCCTCTCGTGAATTTGTCATAAAGATTAACCACAAGATTTTGTCCAACATACAAAACCACTTAGTTTACAATTCTTTTCCAACATTTCGTTTTAAATTTGTAATTAAAATAGGGGGAAAAAAAGCCCCCCAATAAGTGAGAAGTGAGAAAAGAAAAAGGAAGAAATGAAGGATAATAGATGAAACAAGTGGCAAAGTTAGGATTCTTCGTATGCAGGGGTTAAAATTTCAAAATCACTTTCACATAGGTTTTTCATCTTCAACCGAGAGGGCCATCACTAATCTAATTGCAATAATTGTATTGCTATATTATATATTTTATCTATATATATAAAGCAAAAGGCAGAGAATGGTGAAACATTCAAAATACTAGAAAATGTCATTTATTAATTCAAACATTAAGAATTAAAATTATTAATTTAATGATGATAATATGGTAAATTCACATTTTTTTTCATATTAAAAAAAATTAAAAACAAAATCATATAATAGCTCATACTTTTATGGAACATAACTACCCATATTATCTTTTCTTAATTCAAAAAATAAAAGAAAAAAGAAAAAAGAAAACCAATTAGCACATGCGTGAACATGTGCTAAGGGGCTAATAGTATATTACAAGAGATTGAAAATTAAATTGGGGCCAGGGCCATGTCAGGCCTTGCTGTGGCTCCACCCCTAGATGAAACAATACTTATATAAAAGAAAGAATATTAGAAGAAAAAAATTATTTTTTATTTTTTGTAGCATTCAATTACATCGCTTTCCTCTACCTATTTTGAACTAAAAAAGAAAAGTTGAAAACTAATTCTAATTAAATGTATACCTTCTAATTTAGAGATTTGTTAAGAGTATGTATACAATCATAAAAGCTGTGTTTTCATAACATTAATTATTTTAGTTTGATGGGGCCTTTCGTAAAGACAAAGACAAATGAAAAATGTAGCTAGCATTCCCTTTTCGTAAAGAATACGCACGTACACAAACTTATAAAGTTCAAGTTTATGTAATGCGCACGTACACAAACTTATAAAGTTCAAGTTTAAGTAAAATACACATATGTCACATTCGTAAGTGTGACTTTGCGGTCTCCACAACATTCATGGCGGTCACATGCTGTAATTCCATGGAATGGAAGGAGACGCAGAAGCTGTTTCTTGGAGAGTTCGAAGTACGTAGCAGTTGGCCACTGTGCACAAGTACAGCCTGGAATTCCCACTTTTGACAGAAGCAGTTTGTTAAATTTAACGACTTTTAACCAGAGCAGTCTGCAAAACTTCTAGCCGACAGTTGAATAAGAGAATGATTTATTATCTTCATCTAACAAATCAAGCTATTAACTATTTTACTTTCACACGCAGGCAGGACAGTACTGTGAGGAGGGACAAGATGCAGAAATGAATGAGGATGCATGTATGAAACCAAAAAAAAATAGGTATTTTAAATTTCTTAATTTGCTTTTAGTTTTCCATTTTCATTTTGTATAGCATTCCATTACATTTTTTACTTCTCCATATTCTAGTCGTTCCTTTTCCGTTCTCCTTCCTCTTGCCTTCTTTCTCTATATATATTTCTATTCTTATTTAAAAAAAAAAAAAAAAAAAAAAAAAAAAAAAAGTAAAAAGAAAAACAGAAAATTTGATTCACAATATTAATGTTTTAGGACGCTAAGAGCACTTCCACCCTATTATGTCATGATAAAGGGCAATGACAAGTAAGGGCAAACATTATTCACGTGAATAGTGACTGCCCTAACAATTTTTTGATGCATTCTCACCTATTGCCATGGCAATCCAAGGGCAATCACTATTTACATGAGATATGAGGACAGAAATTTGTATGGATTTTGGTGTGGGAATTGAAAAACATGACTAGATATTTATAGGAAAAAAATTATGAATTTTTTGGTTTTTTTTTAAAAAAAAATTTGGTATTTGACCGTTGATGTCAACATGATGTCACGCTGATGTCAGCTTGCCAAGGCAAGTCTTGCCTTCGGATTTGCTCAGTTTGGTGAATCCACTTACCATGGCAACCTTTTCTTTTTGGGGGTTGTTTTTAACGTCTAGACCCCTTTTGCTATAATAAAAGGGAATGGGTGGAAGTGCTCTAAGAGGCTTTTGCTAGGTGTGATGTTTTACTTTGTGTTACTAATAAAGGCATTTGTAAATTTTTGATGGAACGGGATTCCAAATTCTTGATTGATTGCTTAATATCGGGGTAGGTTCCATTTCTTGGCGAGTATGGATGATCATCATCAGATACTTCAAAAAAAAAAGTATTTCAAATTTCTTATTTATTGTTTTGTCCTCGGACAAAATTATTTATTTATTGTTTTGTCCTTGTGCTTTGCCTCAAATTTCAATTCGAATTCAATTTTTCTTATGACTTTGCACCTGGGTCAATGGGCCCTCTTGTGTCCCACGTTCTCCCATACCACCATTTTTCCAAGTAAAATGCTAAGTAGCTGACGTGACGCGAGCATGAAAATTGATTGAGATTTGCCGCGTTCTCCCATACCACCATTTTTCCAAAAATTAGCTAACGTGACATGAGGATGAAAATTGAGATTCAAAGCAAACTACATGAGGCAAAACAAACAACAAAATCCTTAAAACAACATCTCATTATTACGTAGGTATTGTCAAAGAAGTCCTCCTACGATCTAGGGAAAACATCATAGTTCTTGGTACAGAATCAAAAACGTACTACAGGTATCAAAATAGATCCAGCCAATCATCCAACTGCAAAACCATTGAAACACGTCACATGAATCTTTGCTATACTTGAATACCACATTTTGAAACCAAGTTTAACAAACTTCTTTTATTTTTGCCAAAGCGAGTGCAACTGGATCAAGATTCTGCTCTTCCCATAACATAGCCATAATTTTATATAAATGAAAAATACAGTGGTCCTGGTCCATACCCGTGATACAAAATTAAAAAGATCAACATATCACAAATTCGATATATCGGTATATATAAAAAGTAATTAATCAAACCCTAGGCTTGATCTTAGCTCTAAGCTTGTTCTTCATCACCACAGTGAACTCCAACTTCCCGGCAAAATCCAATTTGTCACCAGCCGGATAAGCACTCCACTCAAACTCTTGCACCATCCTTGCCAGCATTAGATGAACATGCACCGTAGCCATGCCCAAACCCGGGCATATCCTTCTCCCCACGCCAAATGGCATCATTTTAATCCCGGTCACTCCAGTTATATCCGCCTCCTCTCCACCCGAAACGAACCGATCCGGATTGAATTTTTTCGGATCGGACCACAGTTTCGGATCCTCCGAAATGGCGGGTAAGTACAACTCGACATTCACTCCAGTTGGTATATCGTACCCCGCCAAGGTGGTGGGCTCAGTAACTGCATGTGTTAATGAAAAGTATGTAGGAGGGTGTTTTCGTAAAAGCTCCTTCACCACAGCTTGCAAATAAGGCATTTTGTCCACATCTTTCTCGTCCACTTTTCTGTCGCCCACACTCGCCTTAACTTCTCTGTAGAGCTTTTCTTGCACTTCCGGGTTGTCGATGAGCTGTGCAATTCCCCACTCTATCGCTGTCGCTGTCGTGTCGGTTCCACCGTTTAAAAACTCCGAGCAAAGCGAGACCAATTCGGCATGCGACGGCGCCGATTTTCGTCCTTCAACCTTGAGATCAAACAGCGTGTCGAGGTACGAAAACGTCGTCGCTTGGGGATCCGACCCCGGGTTTTCGAGCGCCCGACGACGTCTTTCGATGAACGGGACGATGTAGTCGATCTGCTCCTTTCTCACTTCGAGAGCCCTCTTCCTTTGCTTGGAGAAAAAGGGGCTTAAAATCGGCAAATAATCGTCGATCCTCGGGTCGAGTACGATTAAAACCGCTTTCATCATCTGATCCATTTTCTCCACCGTCTCCTCGTCCATCTCGATCCCGAAACACATCGCTAAGAGAATGCAAAACACGGCGAAGCGTGCGGTTTTCAGAACCGAAACGACCCCGTCGTTGGCCTTGGCCTCAGCTTTAATCCGCTCGATCAGAGTGTCCATGGCGTTTTCTCGAACACTTCGAAACTCCTTGAGCCGGGTCGAGCTGAGCATGTTCTGGACCATGTTCCGCCTCAGGGACCGCCACACGGGGCCGTAGAGTGAAGCGTTGACGGTGAACTTGTTGCAGCTGAAGATGGTTCGGGTCGGGTTCTCACTGGGTCGGGTGGCGAAGACCACACCCTTCTCGATCAAGGCTTCGTGGACGAGTTTGGCGTCGCTTAGAATGATCATGGTTCGGGCACCCATTCTGAGAGTGAATATCGGACCGTACTTGAGCCTCAGTTCGTCAGCGTATTCGATGAACGACTTCCCGGAGCGGGAAAATTGGAAGAGGTTTCCAACAACAGGCCAGCCCGGAGGTCCTGGAGGAAGATTGAGGTGCTTGGATTTGGATTTCTGGGTGAGCAAGAAGATCAGCCCGGAGATGAGAAATGCTAGAGCAGTGAAGAAGAGGTGGTAGTAGGAGGAGAGAGAAGCAGAGGAGAAAGAGAGGGTAGCCATTGCTGAAGAGAAAGAGAGTGCAATCTATGTGTTTGTGTTTTTGCCTCTAAGAAGATACAGAGGGAAGCAAGTGTGGAGATATCAAGTGTTGGGAAGCGAGAGGTATAAAATGGGTAAAGCCTGAAATTGCAGGTGGGATCAATAAAGGCTCTTTCCTACCTCTTTCAAGCGAGGACTTCCCGCAGAGTAGTCTAGTTAGGTGGTGGGTGTACATTGTTAAATGCTAGCTCAAAATTTTTGTAGAGACTAAAGCTAGTGGAGAGGTATAAAGAAGAGCAACTACTTCATTAATTTGAACGCCTATTATATTTAAAATTTTATTTAAAAAAAAAAAAAATTTAGTAATAAATTGGTGCGGTAATAGCACGTGGAGTGTGGTCAGAAAATGTATGGCAATTTGCATGAAAAGAAGTTAAATATTTTCCCAAAAATAAATGGATGCTTGTGTGAGAGAGAGAGCATGGAAAATGGATACAAATAAATATGAGTCATAAATACTTGTGACAATGGTTGAACAGTGACTGGTGCTTTATGGATGGAAGGACAGTATTTATGGGGCCGCCTCAAACTGTCTCCTTCGTGAAGCAGGGGGAACTCAGGTTTGGGAACGTCCCTTTGTGAAGCAGGGGGGAATTCAGGTTTGGCAACGTCTCCGGTGCACCTGGTTCATCGGAGCACCAACTTTTAAATGATAAAAAAAAATATGGTTTTTTAGGTAACAGGTCAAAGGTATGGGTTTAATGCAATTCGTTACAATTCATTCAATTTCGTCAATTATTTCAATTAATTTATTTATTTCACAAAACTTGCAAGTGTGGGGCTGAGGTTGGTGTTCATGATTCATTTAATTATTTCACAACATTTGTGGGTAGCTTTTTCCAATTAGCCAAACTGAATTTCTTTTTGTTAACTTGTAAGAAAAAAACAATATGACTGTATTAACTATAAATTTATCGTGTATAATTTGTTTGTCCCTCAATTAAAAATAATAATAATTGATTTTCATTTCATGGTAATGTAGAATTCTCTTTATGTCTTCTGATTTCCCGTAGAATTTATGCAGCTTTCACTTTAGGAAAAACAAAATATAACAATTTTTATTACTTATGACAAATTTGGTCCCTTGGCGTCTACAAGTTGATTGGCAAAATTGCTTGCATCGTCTCCAACACATGTCATTTAAGATTTTTCATATCTTTCGTGAGGGTAATTATGTTGCTGATGCTTTGGCTATGGTTTAATTTGATGGGATACTGCACCTTCTTTTGTTTTGCCTTTTTGTTAGCAGGACTGGCCGGGCATGCCTAATTACCAGTTCTCCTAGTTTCTTTTGTTTACTCTTTCAGAGTTTGTCCATGACCCTCCGGCTTTAATAGAAGATGCCATTTGTATTTTTACACAAATGAAATTTTTTAGTAGAAAATTTGGTGTGGAAAGTGAAATATATTGGGAGATGAATTTGTATGAACATCTGGTGTTGAAAGTGAATAATATTGGTAGGTATTTATAGAGAAAATTTCCATACACTTTTTTTATATTTTATATATTTTTTACAAATATTTTTTTTTCATTTTTTTCATTTTTTTAGCCCAAAAATGGCCAATCGTTGGATTGGATAAGATTTTTGGATTGAAAGCTCTAGGAGAAGCCACTGGCTTATAGCCATTTGTTTTTGGCAACTGTAGGTCAGCGTTGATGTTAGCAACCTAAAGGCAAGAAAATGGGCCAGATCTACCCATGGGCTTGCCTGGGCTCGTGGGACCCATCCTTTGCCTGGGCCGGACTTGGCGTGCTGGAGCTACTCCTCGGGCCTCGGGCCCCTCCTTGCCTAGGCTGGCCTCTTGAGCTGGAGACACTCTTAGAGCTTCAATAGAATATTCGGGGCTCTAAAGGTATCTTTTCCCACAATGAGGGACTCTATACCCGAGCTCTATATGTATTGTTTTTATTATGTAATTTGGTTTTTGTGATAATTTTTGTTGTTTTTAACTCATCTTTTTTTAATGTATGATTATGTTATGTTAGTGTTTTTTAACATTTCTACCCAAAAGAATAAAAAATTTGAACAAGATTCTAAAAATAATATTTTATTTCATATACTTTGAAAGAAAAAAACAAATAAATATAAAGTCCTAATATTAAAAGATATTCTAAATTTATAATTAGTAAGATTAAACCTATGTCAATCTAGAAATTGAATTAGTAATTTTAAGGTCAATTAGAAAAATTACACCATAAACTTCTCTTGAAAAAAAAAGAAAAAAAGAATCACTATTATACCCAATATAAAAGTCCAAATTATTATTTAAAAAAAAACATATATGAAATGGATTTTAGAAATACACCCAAAGTCCATTTACAACATAACAAAAAGACTTTTAACTTTTTTTAAATACAAAACTGTCATTGATTTCTTAAAACAAACCCAACCCCAAAACCTCATAAAAAAATCTAAAACACTTAATAGGGCATTAAAATAATTTAATAATCAAAATTAAATTCAATAGGGTCAGCTATTATTTTTTGAGTTTGTTTATAGAAATTAAATGGTGTAGAGTTTATCCATATTATCAATGTTAAAAATGGTTATATGACTAAATAACTCTAAAAATAATTTAACCATTTTAGTCCATCAAGCTATTCAAGTCAAGCCAACTTGAAAAAATAGGGCATTGAAGCCAAAAGAAAAGGCCAAAAGAAAAACTCTTTTATTATTTTTTTATTTTTATTTTATTTATAAAGCTTTGGGTTTCCTAAAATATTTAAAAAAAGCTTTGGGTTTCCTTAAAAAAATGCGAAATTCAGTTATACTTTAAGGAAAGTTGTTTTAAGAATGATAAAGCCCACTTGCAGAGAGTGGGCGAGTTGGACCAAATCCTCATGTGGCTGCTTCAGCTTTTATTGGCGCGGGGTTCAGTCGGGCTCAAGGGGCTCTATCCTGGTCCATAGATATAAAGACAGCTCCGACAAGGCTTTACAATTTAGATCCCAAAGTGCATGCCAATGGGGACGCCTTTTCGACATTGGGCTCCATATTCAAGAGTCTTAGGCTCCGTTTGGTTCATGAGAAAAGAGACTAGGGAATGAGAAATCAATTGCTTTCCCATGTTTGGTAAGTCTAGGTATAGGAAATCGTTGCTTAGCTCATAGAAAAATAGGGGGGAAAGTGAAGCCATCCTCCTAACTTGGGTTTTTTTTTCTCTCATCATGGGAAAGTTTGGGAAAATTAGCTAACATTAAATACATATTTTTTATGACCATTTTATCCCCATTAGCAATTTAGAACTACAATATACCATTAAATGCATTCTTTTTTTTATTTGATTTAATATGGGTATAATTGAAAATTTATACAAACTTTGTTTTCTATTCCTACTCAAAACAAACATGGGAAAGGAAATAAAGTGATATTTCCCAGTTACTTTCTCAACATTACCAAACGTGGGAAATGAATCTTCCATTCTCATTCCTTAGGGAATGACATGGAAAATGATTTCCCCTCAAATTCATTCAATGAACCAAACATGGCCTTATGGTGGTTGAGCCCTATTTAGGGACTTAATTAGGGATGACCTTAGAGCTCTGATGGAATTTTTGGAGCTTTAAAGGCATCTTTCCCATAATTGGAGGTTCTATATCCATGACGGGTTCTATATTTTTTTATTTATGATGTAATCTGTTTTACGTACTATTTATTTTTTGTTAACTATTTTACTTTAAATGTTTGTTCATGTTATGTTAGTTTTTTATTTATTTATAAACATTACAACCAAAAAATTCAAAATTTGAACAAGATTTGGAAACCAACTTTTTATTTCATAGATACGATACAACGACATGGTTAAATTAAAACAAGATGCTCAACATTAATTTGGTGGTCCTCTCAATGCTTTGGTTATTTGCAATGCGGCCACATGCTCTATGTGATCCCATCAACTGGCCCTGGAGCTGCTAATTTACGTATTCCTGGAAGAGTCCAAATCCTTCATTAAAGTCATCAGGAAGATATACTTCATCCTTTAGATAAAACAAACTACAACACGAGTATAGAAATCAACATTTTTTGGGGGTTGGGAATGATAGACTTCATCTGGGCCTCATTGAGTTTCAGGGGCTTCAACCAAGCACACATATTTGGGTTCAAGTCCAGTTGTGCTCACATTTTTAAAGCCTTAAATTTGCACCATTGGGGATGATTTTTTTTCAAAGAGTTTCTATTTATGGGAGGATCAAGATGGTGCATCCCTGTTTACAGCCCCCATTGGGGATGACCTTATGTACTTTGTTTTGATTCATATATTAAGCTAGTATCCTATGGAGATCATCTTTGTTGTTTGTATATAATTATATGTCTACTTCTAATGATGTGGCAACGAGTGTGTTTGAGCGCGATTGAAATCCAGTTGGAGAAAAGCTATGTTGAATGATGGATGAAGCCACTACCACCTTTTGCGAATAGCCTAGGAGCATCTCCAAAAGAGATCTTAAATCCAATGTAACACTTTAGCATGTAGAGAAAATAGTTGAGATACTCAGTCCAACCAAAATGTTAAATCTTATGTGGAATAATATATCTATATCCTGATGTTATTTTGGTTGTTTGACTATTGTGTGATATTATTTTATTATTTCTTTTCAATTAATGTGCCTAGAAAGTAATAAACTAATAAACCATCATATTCAAATTCAATGTTTGATATTTAACATCTCTGTTGAAGATGTTGTAAGGGCAAGTCTGAAGTCTAAAATATGGTCGAATTGAGTAACGAAGGAAATGTGGCTTGACTCTAAGAAACAAAATGGCGAAATTGGATATTATATATAATTGAGATCATGTGTCCTAAATGGCTTCATGGTTGAAGCAAGCCAAGAAAAGAACTTACTTTGGAGATATTCCTCATCCAAATTCACAATTACTTGATCGAAGTCAACAGCTTGGGGCGCAAGTTATTACATTTTACAGTACATTAGGGTTTTTAAAAGCTAACAGTAGCACGCTCGCACATTAAAGAAAGTTGATTTGTTGACCACAAATGATTTTCAAGTCAATGGGGAACTTTACCCTACCACCACAGGAACTACATCAAAACGGGTAAACATGTGTCATTTAGGGGTTTTTCTCTTTCCTTATTGGAATTGCACGTCAGACCCATAACTTGTATTGCCACATTTGTCTTGGTTAATAACCATACGTCCAGAGGTGGAGCCACAGTGGGGTCAATGGGGTCGCACGACCTCTTGGAAGCCATGGAAATAAGCCTAGAGGTCCCTTGGAGTTGCTGGTGCGACCTCTTGGAGCTGCACACCAAGTGGTCGATGAATGGCCTGAAAGAACCATTAGTTGCAAGCTGAAGAAGAAACCCATTGCGTGCCCAATTTTTTTTATAAAACAACCTGGCAAAACGACGTCGTTTCGTTCTGGCCAGGTATGAACAAATTAAAAAAAGACCAGCGTATCCTCTCCAGCCATTTTTTAATCCCTGGGCCAAAACTACGTCGTTTTGGCCAGGTCTAAAAAAATTAAAAAAGGACCAGCGTGTCCTCTCCAGGCATTTTTTCTCCACAGACCTGATTCCAATTCTAAAACCCCAAATTTTCTTTTGCTTTCTCCTCCAAGTTCAAACCCTAAGTTCCCAACTCAATCCCCCACTCCCCTAAACCCTCAGCTACATTTCCTCCTTTGCTGTCGCCACTGGAAAGTGCCTCTGTGCTGCTGTGTCGTCGCCGTGTGGTGGTGCCGCCGCCAACTACTCTCTTTGTTTTACTCATTCTAATTGTGAAATTTCAGAATCCAAGTAAGTTCTAAACCCTATGTAGTAGTATGATATATTTACTTTAATTGAAACCCAATTCATATTTATTTTGATTATATTGGTGGTTTGATTATATTGTGAGCTTTTATTTTCATTATTTTGTATATGTTGAATATATTTAATTTAATTGAAATTCAATTCATATCCATTTTGTTTATATTGATGGTTTGTTTATATTGTGAGTTTTTATTTTCATTATTTTGTATATGTAGAATATATTTAATTTAATTGAAATCCAATTCATATTTATTTTGATTATGTTGATGGTTTGTTTATATTGTGAGTATTTATTTTGATTACTTTGTATATGTAGAATTATTATGGAACGGTTTTTTTTAAGAGAAAGTCATCATCTGGTTCGGGTAGTTCGGATAATGTTGTTAGTTCAAATAATGTTGGTACTTCAAGAACTCCAAGTTCAAGACAAAGTCAGTTAGATGGTGGTTTGGGTAATCTTCAATCGGACCCTGGATTAAGAACTCGAATGATAGATTATGATGCTAATATGAGAGCTGAGGTTCGAAGATCATATCTACAAAAAGGACCTTGTCAACCTAGAGGTCATAATTTTCCAATAACTAATATGTCAGGAATTAATCGACGCTTTATTCCTCAATGGTTTGATGAGTTTGATTGGTTGGAGTATAGCATATCTAAAGATGCGGCATTTTGTCTCTATTGCTATCTCTTTAAAACCAATTTTGAACAAGTGGGTAGTTAAGCTTTCACTGGAGATGGATTTAAGAATTGGAAGAAAGGGAGAGAAAGATTTAAGATGCATGTTGGACCGGTTGGGAGTGTTCATAACAAAGCTAGAGAAGCTGCTACAAATTTGATGAATCAAAACACACATATTGAAACTGCAGTGAGCAAACACTCTGACCAAGCCCGTAAGGCTTATCGCACTTGCTTGAATGCATCAATCAAGTGCACTAAGTTTTTATTGCGACAAGGTCTTGCTTTTCGTGGCCATGATGAAAGTGCTACTTCAAGCAATAAGGGAAATTACTTGGAGCTATTGCAATTCCTTGTAGATAATGATGATAAAGTTAGAGAAGTTGTGATGGAAAATGCTCTGGGGAATCTCAAATTACTAGTTCCTTGCATTCAAAAAGAAATTGTGAATTTATGTGCCCTTGAAACACTTGATGCTATCATGGATGGTCTAAAAGATAGATTCTTTTCAATATTGGTGGATGAAGCACGTGATGTGTCGGTGAAAGAGCAAATGGCTATGGTATTGCGTTATGTGGATGATAAAGGGCATGTAATTGAAAGATTTGTGGGTATCCAACGTGTTACGGACACTACTTCAAGTTCACTAAAGGATGCTATTGACACATTCTTTTCTCGCAACGGTTTGAGCCTTTCCAAGCTACGAGGACAAGGTTATGATGGTGCTAGAAATATGAGAGGTGAGTTGAATGGCCTTAAAACAAAAATATTGAGAGAGCAACCTTGTGGATATTATGTTCATTGTTTTGCTCATCAACTTCAACTAGATCTTGTTGCTGTGGCAAAGAAGAATATAGACATTGCCTCTTTTTTTGCAACGGCTAATAGTGTGGTTAATCATGTTGGAGCATCTTGTAAGCGGCGTGATTTACTTAGAGAGCAACTCCAAGAAGAGCTTGTGATAGCTTTTGAAAATGATTGCCTTATAACGGGGAGAGGCTTAAATCAAGAAACAAGTCTCAAACGTGCCGGTGACACACGATGGAACTCACACTATGGCACCTTGATTAGCATCATTTCTATGTTTTCATCCGTGGTTCATGTGCTTCAAATGGTTATTGATGATAATCCCAATGAAAGTGCGGGTGAAGCAAACAAGTTAATGAGAGAAATACGTACTTTTGAGTTTGTGTTTGATCTTTTCTTGATGAAAGTCATATTGGGACTCACAAATGATTTGTCACAAGCATTGCAAAGGAAGGATCAAGAAATTGTGAATGCAATGGCTTTAGTGAAATCATGCAAGGAAAAGCTACATTGGATGAGGAATAATGGGTTCGATGCATTGGTTGATAAAGTATCTTCTTTTTGTTACAAACATCATATTGATGTTCCTAACATGGAAGAGGCATTTATACTTCCAGGGAGGTCAAGGCGTAATGCTCCAATAAAGACAAATCATCATCATTATCATGTGGAGCTCTTTATTTATGTCATTGATGAGCAAATTACGGAGTTGGAGGATTGCTTTAATGAGGTAAATTCCGAGTTGCTTATTTGTTTGGCATGTTTGAGTCCAAAAGATTCATTTGTAGCTTTTGATAAACCAAGGTTACTTCGTCTTGCTCAATTTATCCTCAAGACTTTTCGGATGAGGATCGTTTGGTACTTGAAGATCAACTTGAGAATTATATTCATTATGTGCGTTCTAGTAGTGATTTCTCTCAATTGGAAGGGATTGGTGATCTTGCAAAAAAAAAATGGTGGAGACAAGGATTTATCAAGTATTCAATTATGTGTATTTGCTCATCACATTGTTTTTAGTTTTACCAGTTGCAACTGCTTCAGTGGAGAGAGCATTTTCTGTTATGAATATTGTTAAGGGTCCACTTAGGAACAAAATGGGAGATCAATAGTTGAGTGATAGCCTTCTTGTTTATATTGAGAGAGATATTTTTGCTTGTATTGAAAATGAAGCTATAATGCTTCGTTTTCAAAATATGAAACCTCGTCGTGGACAATTATAGCTTGTAATATTGTTTCCGTTATGAATTATGAATGAAAGTACTATGACTTCATTTTCAATATGTTTTTCCATCCTAAATTTTTATTTGGACTTTTACACTAAGACCCCTTGTGGTAAGATTCCTGGCTCCGCCACTGCATACGTCCACCACTTGTGCCGATCGTCTGGGCATATCTTGGTCTTTCTGAATTCACTTCCTACCTCTGGGACCATCCTTGACTCGATCAAAACCATAAAGCTTTGAACAAATACCCATTTGGATCGCTACTTTGGGTGGCTAAGGTTACCCATAAAATCTCATGCTTTTAGGACATTGTTGAGTTAATCTCAAACTATTTGTTGGTTATAAGAAGCTTGGGTATGCTTGAATGACTAGGTGCGCACTTCGGGGCAAGACGTGGTACTCTTTCGGTACGAGATCATTCTTCGACGAGTACTATTCAAGGCTCCAAAGATCATATTTGATGTTCCACTCTTATAAAAAAAAAGGGACATTTTGGAAAAAGCAAAAGGAGAGAGAAAAATTTTAAAAGAAGCAAAATGGACAAAAATGCCCTTATTTATTTTTAGATTTCCTAAGGAATCCAATACATTTGTATTTCTTTGATTTGAAAGTTGAGCGGTTTTTTTGTCTTTTTTGAAAAAGCTTTGGCTTTTTCCAAAAGTGAAATTTTTTTTATGTCTAAAACCTAAAAAACCTTAAAAAAAAAAAAGTTGTTTTCATCGACTTGTGTGCCATTTTATGCCTTAATGAGTATGGTTCTCACTTCTAAACAATGGAGGGTGAGATAGTAGGTTTCAGATGTTGAAGAAAATGATGCTTGGGATGTAAGTTATCAACTATGGAATTGGGGAGTACAATCACAAAATATATTTTATTTATAAAAAAGTGTTTGGCCTAAGTCATTCGTTAGGGAAAACTAACAGTCTTTTGACATTACTTTTTTTAAATAAAAAAATATACAAGGGGAGGGGAGAATAGAACCTAGAACTTCGGTGCAAAGGTAAATTCTCTTAATCACTTAAGTTACAAACCCCTTGCATGAATTTAAATCCAAAATAGAAAAACATAAAATAAAAAAAATTGAGATTTGGTTTTTAAGGGAAAATGGTGCATGAAGGAGGCTACACTTATCAACCTTTTCTCCCCAATGTCCGTTTCCCAACCTACGCGGTGTTTAATAAGAAGTGTCTCATTTTAAAAATAATCATGTTGTAGTCTAAATTGGACCAATGGGGTCTAGCTTAGTGAAAAAGAGCATTGACTTGTAAATTAGTGGTACGTTAATAGTGTGTATGTGAGAAACTTTTCCTCCCTTTTTTATATTTTTTATATCTACAAACTTTGATAGCTCTCCTTTTTGTAAAAGCTTTTGTTCTTGAACGTTGGGTTGGCGTTTTCAAGCCTAGATTTGTTATTGCTAGTTTTTTTTTTTTTTTTTTTTTTTTTCTTCATATTGTAGAACCTAGTGTGAAATTTTTTTGGTTGTGAAATTTTTTTGGTTGGGAAATTTTAAAAAAAAAAAAGTTTGTAAGTCTAGCTTCCATGATTCCATCCATATCTCATCATTTGATTTTCTTCAAGACTACAAGGCAACGAGCATGGATTGACACAATTTTTTTTTTTAAATTTTAAAAAAAAGCCTGCCTTTATGATCAAGATAACACTGTGCCAATAAACGCAGCAACCATGCTCTGCATTTTGACCAAGAAAAAGGAAAGACAAAAAAAAACATGTAGTCTGCATGCCAATATAGGTGCATGGTGTGTGATGCTTGCCATGAAATTGGCATGACAATCTCAGCTGCTACACTCGTTTATCATGACTCATGCGGAACCTTCAGGAGTGATTTGCAATAAACAACAATTAAAAAAATTATAAACAAAAACACATTTTCCTTAATTATAATATTAATCTCGCGTGCACACATACACATATACTTTGATTTATATAAGAATTTATGTAAAAAAAGTAAATCATTTACTTACAAAATTTTCAATGATATTGCATTTAATGATATCACAATCAAGTCATTTTAGAAGTCAAATTATGCATTTAAGATTTATGTGAAATCATTCATTGCAAGACTTTTGCATTTAAGATTTATTAAATTACTTTGATGACCTATTCAGTGTTTTGGGTATTTTTATGAGATTTTTGGGCTGGGCTTGTATTTTTATATGAAGTTAAAAGCCTCATTGTTATGTTGTAAATGAGTTTTGGGTGTGTTTCTAAAGTCCATTTAATATAAGGTAATATATATATATATATATATATATATAATTTGGGCTTCTATATTGGGTATAATAGTGAATCACCAAATTACTAAATGCATATTATGTCATGCGATTTGCGAAATCAATATATGAAGCTCCATGGAAGGTTTCAAGAAGTCATTAGCATGTTTACTAATCCATAATCGAAATCAAAATAAGAAGCTGAATTCCTATTACTGATACTCCTATGTTTATTTCGCGTGAAAGAATCAAAATGCGAGTGTGACTCAAACAAAATCAGGAACTCCTGGGTGGGAGAGGTAGTATTCTAAATCCTAGAGAACTAACCTATTAGGAATTCATATTTTTTACCCATTATATCCTCACACAATTTTAAAATTTTAAATTTTCCATCTACTTGAGGAAGAAGCTATATGTAAGTTATGAAACAGGAAATAAGGAAAAACAAAGAGGAAAGAAGCAAATCTTTTTTCTCCATTAGGAAAAGCAAAAAAAAAGTTAATCTTTCGGGTAGGAGTAATAAATGCAGTCAATTACCGGGAAGCTACAGTGAACTTTCTTCCCTCCTTCCTGAATTTGAAGCGACCGTCCTGTATATATATCCTACACGAATTCTCTCTTCCTCGAATATTAACACTCATTAAACCCTTTGTTTTTTGGCTAAACTTCAGTTTGCTTTCCTGTTTATTGATCTTCATCAACTCGCAGTTTTCCTTGTCCATTGCCATGTCTCGGAGGTCACGAAAACCCGCTGAACAGGCCTTTAAGGCTGAAGAACATGCACCACCAGAACTGAAAACGCACAAGCAGAGGTGGAGGTTGGCCTTGACGGTCATATCCTTCACCAGGGCTCTTAATACACTTGCCAAGAAAGTATTTATGACAAGGGCCAAGTACCTCGATCCATCTCTTACATATCCATTGATGTACCCAGCAACGAAGACAATAGTGCAGGCGAGAGCAGTCGTTCTTTGCTTGATCTTGATCAGAAGGCGCTTACTGATATGGTGAAGGACAAGAACCTTGATCTTTTGAGTCAATTTGGAGGAGTTAAAGATTTGGCTTCTACTCTTGGAACTGATGTGAGGGGGGGAATTGGCGGGGGAGAGGCTGATTTGATGCATAGGAAAGATGTTTTTGGAGCCAATGTGTTTCAGAAGCCGCCTGCAAAACGCTTCATGAGTTTTTTCATTGAAGCATTCAAGGACACAACCATCATAATACTTCTGGTATGTGCTATACTCTCTCTAGGGTTTGGAATTAAAAAGCATGGCTTGAAAAACGGTTGGTATGATGGTGGTAGCATTGTTCTTGCTGTCTTGTTAGTCGTTATTGTCACTGCTGTCTCGAACTTCAAGCAGTCGAGGCAATTTGATAAGCTTTCGACCAAGAGTAGCGACATAAGTGTTGAAATTGTGAGAGCTGGACACGCCGTCCCATATCAATATTTGATATTGTGGTGGGTGATCTTGTTTGCCTGAAAATTGGGGATCAGGTTCCGGCAGATGGGGTGTTTATGGAAGGGCATTCATTGAAGGTGGACGAATCCAGCATGACCGGGGAAAGTGAAACACATTGAGATCAATAGTGGAAACCATCCCTTTCTTTTTATCTGGCACAAAGGTGACAGATGGGTTTGGTTTGATGCTTGTCACATCTGTGGGCATGAACACAGCCTGGGGGTGAGATGATGAGCTCAATAAGCCGGGATTTAGATGAGCAGACACCTTTACAGGCACGGCTTGACAAGCTTACATCATATATTGGGAAGGTTGGTTTGGCTGTGGCTGTGCTTGTTCTTGCCGTTTCTCTGATTCGTTTATTTCACACCGGACACACCACAGATGACAAGGGGATCAGAGAATTCTATGGAGGCAAGACAAAAGTTCGATGATGTAGTGAATTCTGCTCTGGATTTTAGCTGCAGCAATCACATTGTTGTTGTGGCAATTCCTGAAGGTTTGCCTCTGGCCGTTACCTTGACTCTTGCGTATTCAATGAAGAAGATGATGAATGACAACGCCTTGGTTCGAAGGCTCTCTGCATGTGAGACGATGGGATCAGCCACAACCATCTGCACTGACAAAACAGGCACTCTTACCATGAATGAGATGAAGGTTACAGAGTTTTGGCTTGGTCCAGAAACAATGACAGAGGAGAATCAGTCAGAGATAGCACAACCCATTCTGCAATTACTCCGTCAGGCTGTAGGCTTAAACACAACTGGCAGTGTTTGTATACCGAATTCTTCACCCGTCCCTGAGATTTCTGGTAGCCCAACTGAGAAAGCAATACTTTCTTGGGCTGTGTTTGATTGGGAATGAATGCTGATGAAGTGAAACAAGGCTGTCAGATACTCCATGTTGAAACTTTCAATTCGGAGAAAAAGAGAAGCGGTGTTTTGATGAGGAGGAACGGTGAAAAGGCAACTGAACCCACTGGAAAGGAGCTGCTGAGATGATACGGGTTGTGCTCGAATTATATGACAAGTGGTGGAAAAGTGAGAGCATCAGTGATGAAGAAAGATTGATGTTGAGTCAATTATTCAGAACATGGCAGCCAAAAGCTTGCGGTGCATTGCCTTTGCTCATAAAATTTCTGAAGAAGAGAATGGCAGTCAGGGTCTGATAGCTTGAAGAAAGTGGGCTGACATTGTTGGGTCTTGTGGGTTTGAAGCCGTGCAGACCTGGAGTTCGAACAGCAGTAGACGCTTGCAGAGCTGCTGGAGTGAAATTAAGATGATACCGGTGACATGTGCATACTGCCAAAGCTATAGCTGTGTTGAATGTGGGATACTGAAACCAGAGGAGGATCTGGAGGATGAGGCAGTTTGTAGAAGGTGTCCAATTCGAAATTACTCACCTGAAGAGAGACAATGGAAAGGATCGTAAGATTCGCGGGATGGCCAAGATCGTCCACCATTTGATAACTAAAGAGGGTCCGTACTGCAGCAGAAGAAAGGCCCGGGGGCAGTGACGGGAGATGGCACGAATGATGCAACTCCCTAAAGGAGCGATATTGGGATTTCGAGTGGGGATCCAAGGCACGGAAGTTGCAAAGAGAGCTCAGCTGTGATCGTGATATGGATGATAACCTTCGCTTCTGTGGGGATGTTCTGGATGGGGCAGGTGTGTTATAACAATTTTCAGAACGTCCTTCAGTTACAGTCACAGTACCTGTGCTGACTTGTGCTCCACTTTGTCGCCGTGTTTCGTCTGGCCAAGTTCATGACTGCTGTCCAAGTTGCTGTGGGTGAACCTTATAATGGATCCGTTGGGGGCTTTCGCTTTGGCACTGAACAACCAAACCAATGAATCGGACAAGAAACCCAGTGGGTCGACAGACCACTCATCACAGACAGTCCTGTGGAGACACCTCTTATCTCGGCTTTGTATCAGATCACCATCTTGCGCTCTACAGTTTAAGGAAGATCCATTCTTGGCTGTGGATTGAAAGGCAAGAATATCCATGTTTCTCTTCAACAGTTTTTGTTTTCAAGTCTTCAATGGTTCACATGCCATGAACATGGAGCGAAGGAAGAAACACATAGTCAGGGGTTACTCCCGAAACAAGTGTTCTTAGGAATACTTGGCATCACCGCAGTTCTCAAATAGTGATGGTTGAACTTGACGAAGTTTGCAAGTACGGAGAGGCTGAATTGGGGGGCAATGGCGTGCTTGCAGTGGGATTGCAGTGATGTTGGCCGTGGTTGGCTGTTAAGTAAGTCCTGTTTCTGGATAGCAGGTGCGACAAGGCGCTAGAGTTCCTGAAAAATTTCAAACGATAGAAACAGACTAATTATGTGTTGCTCTTTTAGATTACATCTATATTTTTTTTCAGTAGTTCTCAAAGAGATTTTCTCATCCAGGATTAGATTAATTGGTAAATGATGAGGAACTAGTTATAACATCTTCGTTCAATGAGGCAATTCTCTTTTTTTCCTTTTTATCACAGACGCAGTTGTTCGATGTACCACTTGGAAAGTAACAATTCTTGCTTCAGCCTTTTTGTTTGCTTACATTATAATCAAAAGAGTTAATTCCTATCAAGAAAAAGGAAACAATCAAGCAATAACAAAAGCAAGGAAAAAAGAAGACGGTTCCGTTGAGACATTATATCTTTTCGGCAAACAATATGATGCAGAACACTCAATTGAATGAAAAAATAATGCAGGAAAAAAAACCAACAGAATGGGTTTAATAGCAAAAATAGTTGTAAAAAAAAAAAAAAAAAAAAAAAAAAAAAAAAAAAAAAAAAAAAAAAAAAAAAAAAAAAAAAAAAAAAAAAAAAAAAAAAAAAAAAAAAAAAAAAAAAAAAAAAAAAAAAAAAAAAAAAAAAAAAAAAAAAAAAAAAAAAAAAAAAAAAAAAAAAAAAAAAAAAAAAAAAAAAAAAAAAAAAAAAAAAAAAAAAAAAAAAAAAAAAAAAAAAAAAAAAAAAAAAAAAAAAAAAAAAAAAAAAAAAAAAAAAAAAAAAAAAAAAAAAAAAAAAAAAAAAAAAAAAAAAAAAAAAAAAAAAAAAAAAAAAAAAAAAAAAAAAAAAAAAAAAAAAAAAAAAAAAAAAAAAAAAAAAAAAAAAAAAAAAAAAAAAAAAAAAAAAAAAAAAAAAGGGGTGGAAAAAAAATAGAAAAGTTGGGGGGGGGGAGGGGCCGGGGGAGGGGAGAGAGGGAAAAGCAGAAGGGGGGAGGGGGAAGGAGGGGGGGGGGGGGGGGGGGGCGAAAGGCCAAGGGAGAGGGGAGAGAGAGGAAGAGAAGAGCATGGGCTTCCTAGAGTGGGGTAGAAGAGGGAATCACCAAATGACGAAAGGCCTAGAGGGCAGGCGAGGTGCGAAAGCATAGAGAAGCCGCCATGGAAGGGTCAAGAGGCAGGAGGACAGTACTATCCATACTCAATCAAATAAAAAGAAGCTGATTCCGATTACGGATACCTTGTTTATGCGCGTGAAAAGACAAAAGGCGAGGTGCTCAAACAAACTCCGGACTCCTGGGTGGGAGAGGTATATTCTAAATCCTAGGAACTAACCTAATTAACTTCAGATTTTTTTACCCATTAATAGCTCACACATTATAACATTTTAAAATTTTCCATCTAACTTGGGAAGAAGCTAATGTAAGTTATGAAACCGAAATAGACAAACAAAGGAAGACGCCATCTTCTTTCCTCCATTAGGAAAAGCAAAAAAGATTAAATCTTTCGGGTGGAGTAATACCGTCCAATTACGCGGGAAGACTACGCGTGAACTTTCTTTCCCTCCTTCTGAATTTGAACGAACCGTCGTGTATCTATATCCTATACACCCGCAGTCTCTCTTCCTCGATTTTAACACTCATTAAACCCCTTGGTTTTTTTGGCTAAAACTCAGTTTGCTTTCCTGTTTATTGATCTTCCTCAACTCGCAGTTTTTCCTTGTCCATTGCCAGTCTTCGGAAGGTCCGAAAAGCTGGAAGGCCTTTAAGGCTGAGAACATGCACCACACCAAACTGAAACGCAACAAGCAGAGGTGGAGGTTTGGCCTCTACGGTCATATCCTTCCCCAGGGCCTCCTAAATACACTTGCAAGAAAAGTAATTTATGACAAGGGCCAAGTACCCTCGACTCTCTTACATATCCCTTGATTACCCAGAACGAAGACACTAGTGCGGACGAGAGCAGTCGTTCTTTTGCTTGCTTGATCAGAAGGCGCTTACTGATATGGTGAAGGACAAGAACCTTGATCTTTTGAGTCAATTTGGAGGAGTTAAAGATTTGGCTTCTACTCTGGAACTGATGTGAGGGGGGAATTGGACGGGGGAGAGGCTGATTTGATGCATAGGAAAGATGTGTTTTTGGAGCCATGTGTTTTCAGAAGCCGCCCTGCCAAACGCTTCATGGCGTGTTTTTCATTGAGATTCAAGGACACACACCCATCATAATACTTCTGGTATGTGCTATACTCTCTCTATGGTTTGGATTAAAAAGCATGGCTTGAAAACGGTTGGTATATGGTGGGTAGCATTGTTCTTTGCTGTCTTGTTAGTCGTTATTGTCCACTGCTGTCTCGAACTTCAAGCAGTCGAGGCAATTTGATAAGCTTTCGACCCAGAGTAGCGACATAATTGTTTGAAATTGTGAGAGCTGGAACACGCCGTCCCATATCAATATTTGATATTGTGGTGGGTGATCTTGTTTGCCTGAAATTGGGATCAGGTTCCGGCAGATGGGGTGTTTATGGAAGGGCATTCATTGAAGGTGGACGAATCCAGCATGACCGGGGAAAGTGAACACATTGAGATCAATAGTGGAAACCATCCCTTTCTTTAATTGGCACAAAAGGTGACAGATGGGTTTGGTTTGATGCTTGTCACATCTGTGGGCATGAACACAGCCTGGGGTGAGATGATGAGCTCAATAAGCCCGGATTTAGATGAGCAGACACCTTTACAGGCACGGCTTGACAAGCTTACATCATATATTGGGAAGGTTGGTTTGGCTGTGGCTGTGCTTGTTCTTGCCGTTTCTCTGATTCGTTATTTCACCGACACACCACAGATGACAAGGGGATCAGAGAATTCTATGGAGGCAAGACAAAGTTCGATGATGTAGTGACTTCGCTCTGGATATTTTAGCTGCAGCAATCACAATTGTTGTTGTGGCAATTCCTGAAGGTTTGCCTCTGGCCTTACCTTTGACTCTTGCGTATTCAATGAAGAAGATGATGAATGACAACGCCTTGGTTCGAAGGCCTCTCTGCATGTGAGACGATGGGATCAGCCACAACCTCTGCACTGACAAACAGGCACTCTTACCATGAATGAGATAAGGTTTACAGAGTTTTGGCTTGGTCCAGAAACATGACAGAGGAGAATCAGTCAGAGATGCACAACCCATTCTGCAATTACTCCGTCAGGTGTAGGCTTAAACACAACTGGCAGTGTTTGTATAGAATTCTTCACCCGTCCCTGAGATTTTCTGGTAGCCCAACTGAGAAAGCAATACTTTCTTGGGCTGTGTTTGATTTGGAATGAATGCTGATGAAGTGAAACAAGGCTGTCAGATACTCCATGTTGAAACTTTCAATTCGGAGAAAAAGAGAAGCGGTGTTTTGATGAGGAGGAACGGTGAAAGGCAACTGAAACCCACTGGAAAGGAGCTGCTGAGATGATACGGCCTTGTGCTCGAATTATTATGACAAGTGGTGGAAAAGTGAGAGCCATCAGTGATGAAGAAAGATTGCATGTTGAGTCAATTATTCAGAACATGGCAGCCAAAAGCTTGCGGTGCATTGCCTTTGCTCATAAAATTTCTGAAGAAGAGAATGGCAGTCAGGGTCATGATAAGCTTGAAGAGTGGCTGACATTGTTTGGTCTTGTGGGTTTGAAGGATCCGTGCAGACCTGAGTTCGAACAGCAGTAGACGCTTGCAGAGCTGCTGGAGTGAAAATTAAGATGATAACCGGTGACATGTGCATACTGCAAAAGCTATAGCTGTTGAATGTGGGATACTGAAACCAGAGGAGGATCTGGAGGATGAGGCAGTTGTAGAAGGTGTCCAATTTCGAAATTACTCACCTGAAGAGACAATGGAAAGGATCGATAAGATTCGCGTGATGGCAAGATCGTCACCATTTGATAAGCTAAAGATGGTTCAGTACTTGAAGCAGAAAGGCCACGTGGTTGCAGTGACGGGAGATGGCACGAATGATGCACCTGCCCTAAAGGAGCAGATATTGGGCTTTCGATGGGATCCAAGCACTGAAGTTGCAAAGGAGAGCTCAGACATCGTGATATTGGATGATAACTTCGCTTCTGTGGTGACTGTTCTGAGATGGGGCAGGTGTGTTTATAACAATATTCAAAGTTCCTTCGTTTCCAGCTCACAGTAAATGTTGCTGCCCTTGTGATCAACTTTGTCGCCGCTGTTCGTCTGGCAAAGTTCCATTGACTGCTGTCCAGTTGCTGTGGGTGAACCTTATAATGGATACGTTGGGGGCTTTAGCTTTGGCCACTGAACAACCAACCAATGAACTCATGGACAAGAACCAGTGGGTCGAACAGAGCCCTCATAACCAGAGTCATGTGGAGAAACCTCTTATCTCAGGCTTTGTATCAGATCCACCTCTTGCCTGACTCTACAGTTTAAGGGAAGATCCATCTTTGGCGTGGATGAGAAGGTCAAGAATACCCTTATCTTCAACACTTTTGTTTTTTGCCAAGTCTTCAATGAGTTCAATGCCAGGAACATGGAGAAGAAGAACATATTCAAGGGGTTACTCAAGAACAAGTTTGTTCTTAGCAATAATTGGCATCACCGCAGTTCTTCAAATAGTGATGGTTAACTTCTGACGAAGTTTGCAAGTACGGAGAGGCTGAATTGGGGGCAATGGGGTGCTTGCATTGGGATTGCAGTGATGTCTTGGCCGATTGGTTGGCTTGTTAAGTACATTCCTGTTTCTGGATAGCAGGTTCCAAGGCGTATAGTTCCTGAAAAATTTTCAAACAGATAGAAACAGACTAATTCTTTTGTTGCTCTTTTACTATTCACATATATATTTTTTTTCAGTAGTTTCTCAAAGAGATTTTCCTCAATCCAGGATTAGATATATTGGTAAATGATGATGTAACTAGTTATAACTCTTCAGTTCAATGATGCAATTCTCTTTTTTTTTCCTTTTTTATCACACTGACGCAGTTGTTTTATGTAACTTGAAAGTAACAATTCTTGCTTCAGCCCTTTTGTTTGCTACATTATAATCAAAAGAGTAATTCCTATCAAGAAAAAGGAAACAATCAAAGCAATAACAAAGCCAAGAAAAAGAATGACTTGTTCCGTTGATCATTATATCTTTTCCGGCTAACAATCTGATGCAGAACACTCAATTGAATGAAAAATAATGCAGGCAAACAATCCAACAGAATGTTTACAATTAGCCAAAACATAGTACTCAGTACTCAAGTTATACTATGTTTTGGTAGTTCCACCCCCCAAATCAACTCTCCAAAGAAGAAAAATCCACCGCACAAATCTTTTAGAAAATACATAATCAGCTTAACCAAAGGTTTTCAGGTAAGGTATTATGAAGTAACCCATTTCGAGTTGTGCTATACCAGTTTGCTAGCATTTTGCCATTGCACACAGAAGCAGCAGAATTCGAATATATAGTCATTGTAATTTGCAATACTACTACTATATTCATCCCTGAAAATATTAACCACAATGACTTGAAGGACGCAATTGGTTCAGTTTTGAACAATTTAGAACATGGCTGCCAAAGCTTTCTAGTGTATGATCTTTTTTTTCCCGCTGTTCGTGGTTCATATCGAATGTCAAATTCGCATAGCTGAGCTGCGCATACCTGTTTCCAGCCAGCGATTTCGAGGCTACCCTAGCTAAGAGTTTTATGCAATTTAAATCAAATTTTCCAATTTAGTTCTAACGTAATTATAGTCTCACTTCTGGATATTGTTGTGAAAGATTTGTAATTCTTGACCCCTCTCCCACTTCCCACCCCTAAAAAAATAAACAGAAAATACCTGAAGTTAACTTCAAAGACAGCAACGGAGAAATTTAACTACTTTCTCGCATTTTCCTTGTAACCAAACAAATCTTTCACATTATATAACATTTGGTAAAGTTTTAACACGGTTCTGATGTGTGTGAAAAAAGAACCCGTTACTGTGTTAGAACTAATTTAATAGAATACTTATTTGGTTATTCTCCTTATTAACTGCTACAAATTTTATTTGCATTTTGAAATTCAATCTCCTTTTGCCGCTAAAGATATGCATAACATTTTAGATTCCTATCCCAAGGAGCAATGTAAAATCGGAACTTCTACACAAACAGAGTAAAAGAGAGAGTAAAGAAAAGTTAGGGCAAACCTTCGATTTTGGTTTTAGCTGCCAATTTGTACTGTGAATCAAATGTTGTCTTCCCGGGTTCCCAGCGCCATGGGCCCTTGTGGTCCATTTTTTATTTAGAACATTTCCACTTATTTGTCATGGCAAGGGTAAGAGGAGGCAAGGTATGTTTCCACCCAATGACATAGCAAAGGGCAAATACTATTCACTTTTAGTTTTTATTTTTTTTATATTTTATTTTATTTTACCTAAACAATTAATTTGGAGAAGATTTTCAGTTCCCATGTGTCAAATGAATTTTTCGGATAAGATTCTCGATTGCCAAGTATCAATATTTATTATAAAATTCAAATCTCAAATTTCAAATAAGATTTTCGGGTGTCATGTGTCGATATTTATTATAAAATACAAATCTCATATTTCAGATAAGATTTTCATCATCTATAATCGCACCACGTGTCATCTATATCTTCTAAATCTCTCTATAAAACCAGAGGCTCAACTCATACCTCACACACCATATCTTCTCCATCCTTTCATTTATCAAATTTTAGATTTTATACTCCACTCTCAATGTTAGCCATGAGGAGATGCTTGGAGAGGCAAGAACGAGAAATTAAAGAAAGAGGGCGTAGACAAGCTGAAGAAAAAAGGGTGCAGCAAGAAGATGATGAACAAGTTGTCATGGCAGTTGGTATGCTCGATCTATCAAGGCAAGGCTGCCATTGTGGTTCACAAGTCGCCCGTAATCGGACAATGACCAACTTGGACCCAACACTCATACAACAGAACATCTTCCATGGTTGTCCACGTCCCTACGGCTTCGATGGAAGATGCCATAAGATGGTGAATAAAAATGAAAATTGAAAGTGAATAATATTATAAGAGAAGAAAATGTATGAGATTTGGTGTTATCACTTTAGTCTCCATGGTTTTAATTTTGTTAATTTTTTCTCCATAGTTTTAAATGCCTCGCAATTCAAGGACACATTACAAATACGGTCAACTTCCTTCTAATTCCATACAAAATTCTATCCAAAATACCCCTCCACGTCGGCCATACGCATTTACTGCATCACAAAATTGGACAAAAATTTGAATGTGTCGTCCTTGAATTGCGATGATATAAAACTATAAGGGTGAAATTGCCATAATCAAAACCACATGGACAATAGTGGAAAATTCGGCAAACTACAAGGACCGAAAGTGACTTTTACCTTAAAAGTACAGATTTTAGTGACGGATATGCAAAAATAGCTGTTGCCACTTCAACTGGTCAAATCAAATAAGTTCAAACAGTTTGGTCGAATTTTTACCTACAAGTGTAATTTTGTACCAAATTAAATCAAACCTTAATTAGTTTGGTGTGGTTTGGTTTAGTTTGGTTAGGCCTATTTGAAAAACCTTTAAATCAAACCAAACCGCCAATTTTTTTTCTTTCTTCTTATTAGTATTTCTTATTGATTATCACCAACTTACGATTATATTTTATCCCAACAACCATTTTATATTTGGTTTTTGTTTTTTAAAAAAGGCAATAGCAATTTATTAAATCATCAGGAAAAAAGAATATACAAAGGACAAAGACGGTAAATGGAGACATTCCATTAAGAATATGGTAAACATGGGTAAAAACTTCCCCAGTGACCTAAGCTAGCCAAAGAGTTGAAATGATTAGTAGAGAATCACTCTCGAAAATAATTTTTCTATACACCCTTATCGCCATAATTTCCCAAAATGTAGTCCAACATCAATAACAAACTGGCCGCTAATCGGCATAACTCTCCTAAAGAGACTACTACCCAACATAATCAATTAAGTTTTCCAGAATTATGAGATAAAACAACATAGAAAAATCATAGAGTTTCTAGACTTAATTGAAAAAACTAAACCAAAACTAAAATACTAAAACAACGCAGACAAAAGGAAGAACAAACACCGCTAATCTGTCTCCGAGACATCACATAGAGAGCGCTACCTTCTCACTCCATGGCCCCAACACGCTAATTTACAATAGATCTACCATGACCAAGTAACAACACCTCAAAAAGCAACCCCGTAAGATGAGACAAATCCAAAGCCAACCTAGATGCGTGCCAAAGACAATAGACCTTTCAAACAAATAGCATATCGACATAGATCACCCAAATATAGGAAAACAATGAGGATATGATGGGATCCAGGTGAAACTCCCCGAATCTAAAGCTTTCTCTCTCTTTTAGAGGGTTTTCTAAATTTAATATGTTTAAATTTATGGTATATTTGTTTTAATTTATTATTAAAGGAAACACCATACCAAATTGGTTTTTAGATAGATAACTATACTACTAGCTAGTACGAGGCCAACTAAACTACTCCAAACTGTGATGTCAAATTGGCAATGTGGGCTGTTTGTGGTCAAGCTGCAATGAAGTTTCTTGCATCATTTATGCATGCCCCTACGTCAACTGACTTGCTTGATTGAATTTTTTGTTGAGAGTGTTTGTCTCACATTGAAAAGTTAAGGGACCTAATATGGGGTTTATAAGGAGTTGGGCTACTATCTCATTGTCAATAGATTTTAGGGAGGAACCTCAACTTCCTTTATTTTCATCTTAATAAAATTAACACTATTAATCAATATTTAATTCTTTTTTATTTTTTATGGTCGTCTTTAATTAAATTAATTATCTTCCTTATTTAAATTATATTAGCTTCTTCGCACGCGCTTCCGCTCATGCGAGAGGGTTTTTTTATATATATTTTTTAATAATTTTAAAATTTATTTTAGAATTAAAAAAGATAATGAGTAGTTGTGTTTCATAAAATAGGATTCATTATCTGATTTTAATTTTAATTTTTTTAATATGAAAAAGTATGAATTTACCATATTATCCTCATTTAATTATAATTATAATTTTTAATGTTTGCATTAACCAAGGGCATTTTTTGGTATTTTGAATGTTTTAACCATTCTCTACCTTTTGCTTTATATATATACTAGTCCCTTGGCACATGCTTACGCATGTGCCAATTGGTTTTCTTTTTTCTTTTTTATTTTATTTTTGGTATTAAGAAAAGATTACATGGGTAGTTATGTTCCATAAAAGTAGGACTTATTATATGATTTTAATTTTAATTTTAATTTTTTTTAATATTAAAAAAATGTGAATTTACCATATTATCCTCATTTAATTAATAATTCCAATTCTTAATGTTTAAATTAACCAAAGACATTTTTTGGTATTTTGAATGTTTCACCATTCTCTGCCTTTTGCTTTATATATATATATATATATATTTACAAAGTTAAAAAATTATATATTTTATTATTTTTATGTTTGCTTTTCTTAGTTCTACACTGCACCAAACACAGAATATCACTAACGTTTATTCCAATTCATGCGAGTCCAATCCAAAGAAGTAGTCCAGACTAGTCAAATCCTGATCTTGTACAATGTTTTTTTCTTTGTTAATGGAGGAAGAATCAACGTTATTATCACTACTAGAAAACCTCATTATAAGCCACAAACAACTCATGACTTATATTCATGTTCGTCACAGACAACCCGTAGCTGAAGGATGTTGACCATAAAACATGTAATTATGATAGATGTGAGTGTTGCCATTAACTTTTCGCCACAATAAGGGTTGTCCGTGGCCTATAAATGGTGGATCCCACCATGCCTAGCTTCTCACCCTGACAAAAGTTTACATCTTTCAATTAAAATATTAATATTCTTTCAATACCCCACAATCATTACCAAATGTGCAGTGAAATAGAACTACACATGTCCATGATGTGGAGTGAAATTAGAGGTATTAACAAGTCAAGAATCTCCAATCCAAACACAACCTGTTTATTAAATGGATAACACGACACGGCCCATATAACCCCCATTTGTTAACCCCCCATTTGTTAAATGAATTGTTATTTAAATTAACCCGTTTAACTAATTTAATTTTATGACAGTTTACTGTAATTTTCCATTTTTTGGGCTTCTACCACATATGAAAAAAAGAAGAAGTAATTTTCAGGTTTCTTTTTATTTTGGTCGGAAATTTTTTAGGTTTCTATCCTACTTTGCATAAGGAGTAAATTGGAGAAATTGTCAAACCCAGATCACATTGCAGCAAGCAAATTACTTTAAAATTATGCAAAGAAGCTAACGAGATCTAACCCAATGAAAGAGGACCTTTACTTCGATCATAGAGGTCTCAGGTTTGAATTTCGACGACATCATAGTTGTGTGTGTTTGTGAAATTCTCCCTCTATTTTAATTTAGACTATCGCTTGTATTTAAATATATATATATATATATATATGTGCAAAGAAGTTCTCTCAGTTCTCCTGAAAATATACGTATAAAGCTGATTTTATTACTATATATCTCATGTTCTAACAATAATAGGAAAAATGTGCAGATCATGCAGAGCAAAACAATAAAACATTTCTGGTTCTGCATTTTCCCCTTTTACCTTCCCTCCAGCAATTTTTCAGGCCGCACGACATGGGTTCGAATGTCGAGATATGTGATGGAAGACATTGGGCTCCTATTAAAGCTCCATGAAAAGGACGGTTTTTACCGTTTGTGTTCCCCCGGGGGGTAACGTATGCACTTCTGTTATAAAACCATATATGCACGTCAACCATTAAATAAAATATGTTTTTGTTGTCAATAAATAAATTTAAGAATGGCATGAGAGTAGTACTGCCAACGAATCCATGACGTTTACTGTCGGTACTCTCAAGGTAAACCAATATGTACTGTGAGAGGTAAATAATGTGTAGGACCAATTAAATTCCCGGAAACATATAATATTTCCAGATTTTTTTTTAATATAAGGTATATTGGAGGAGGAGAATTCGAACACAGCTCTTAACCACTTGAGCTACAAGTCCCTTGCGAATTTCCATAAATTTTTAGGATTTCTCTTTTTCTATTCATACTATGTTACTTATCATGAATAGGTATTGAATTTATTTTAATTCTTACTTTTCATGTGTTTACTAACATATTGATATTGAAATTATTCTAATTCCCGAATTTTCATGTGTTTCACTAACACATAAGTAATAAATAGGGTTAAATACATTTTTGGTCACTGGATTTTACACGAAATTTCAATTTGGTCTTTGAGAAATAAATTTAGCCAAATTAGTCACTGTATTATCAAAAGTTTACAATTTATAGACTTGCAGTTAGTTGGCGTTAAGTTGTTGAGTTAAATACCTTTTTCGTCAAGAAATTTCAATTTGGTCACTAAAAAAAAAATGTAGCCAAAAGCCATGTAAATGCGAAACTCTATTTTAAACTTTTTTTAGGGGTCAAATCTATGTATCGACAGTTATGAATTTGAATTTTGTGAATGTGGGACTATGATAATGGTTGGGATTATGATTGAAGCATTTTTGAAAAGACCGATTTGCATTTTTGTCAAACTATTATTGAGATATGAACATATTTTTGTCTTGATATGATTCTTTTTTTTAGCCTTAATTGATTCTATACCAATCATAAATTTTTAGCCTACGAGCATCGTGTGCAAGAGCATAGCATTTGCATGGATTTCGGCTTTTTTTTTTTTTTTTTTTTTTTTTTTTTTTTTTTTGTCAAAATTCAGATGACCGAAATTAAAAAAAAAAAAAAAAAAAAAAACAAAAAAAATTAGGATTGATTAAAGGAGTATTTACTATTCATAATTTCTCCAATTCATGACTTCTCACATTCCTAATAAATAAACAAAATCTTTTTTTGTTTCTCTGTGACTTGTGCAGTAGGGCAATTGAAGGAGGCTCAGGTCTATCATTTGATCAAGATTCCATCAAAGAAAAAGATCAACGTCTGCCCAAGAATCCAACCTGGAGTGTTGAGTTAGTCTGTTAG